TCAGAGAAACGTAGCTTTTTTGAGAGCATCCGAGCAAAGGAATTAATGGAAAACCATGATCGCCGATGTCTGTCGCAGATCTGGCACTGGATGATGATGATGATGATGATGATTTGTCCAATGACCTTATACACTGAATAAACTTACTTGTAATGCAACTTGTATTATCATTTATTTTGTTTTTCTACCAGGTAAAGTCTCTGCTTCGCCGAAAGTGGCAACAGCACATGTTGATGACCGGTGGCCCCCGCAAGAACACGGCGATTACGTCATCCACTCTGGTGGACGGCTACTCTGTAGTGGACACTGCCAGGGATGGGAACTCTCTCCGGGTCAAGGTCCCGCTCGACTCCCTCAATAGAACTGTAAGTACAATGATATATCGACTCCAGTAGAAAAAACAAAACAAGATGCCAACTCATTTTTAAGAGAGTAGAGGGAACGGGAATTCAAAGTTTGAGAGTCAGTATCTCATCGTGAGCATACCACATTTTTTTCCTTACTACGTGGCATAATAATATGACTTAGTTGATCCTGGGACCATTTGCGGTAAAGAAAGTTTTTTTTAAGGAACGAAATTGGGGAATTTGCTATTTTATTCACTGACTTATCTGTGTTTTCAACTCGAGTCTTCTCAGTAATTAAGAAAAAATGCAAACTGAGTATTACAAGTGCACCCAGTCTGTATCTTTCCCTTTGTCCATTTTGAAATGAACAAACGTTTCATACAGCTAAACTCAAAATAATCTAGAACGGAAAAAAATAAGTAAAGGAAAGAATGTGTAATATAAACGTCTCTTTGCATTCTGCTGCAACATTTATTACCCCAATGCAGCTACGTAGTGCGCCAAGAATGTTGTTTTGACAGTCAGTCAAGACAAATAATATTATATAATATACTTTTAAAAATCTGATATACCACGCCATTGCATGCGATGGCTGTTACAGTGCCCCATGTTGATGTGAAAGATTCGGCCTTTATTTTGTTTGTGAGAGTGTTCACCATTCATTTGAACCATGGGTCTTTCACAATAACTTCATAAGACTGCCGCATCAGGCAAAAATCATGTATTTTTCTTTAACAGAAGTTAAAGAGCTGTTCTAATAGTGCAAAAGATTTTGTTGTTTTTTAGTCTCCATAAAAGCTTGCGGTGTTGATAGTTTATTATTGAAATATATTTTTTCATTTAGCATATAGAGCTTTTAAAAAAAAATTTTCATTATCACACACAGGTTCCTCTCTCCAAAAGAAATTTGCCAAAACAAAAAGTAACATTATTTCATCTAGATTACTTTCAGTTTTCAAATCAATTTTTATAGTGTTTTTATTTGGTTTCTGGTTTTTACAGAATATTTTTAATGTCTGACTCACAGCAAGGCACCTGCCTCCACAGAGCAGTAATCATGCTCGACTCAAAGCAATTTTCTCTACCCCCACAACGTTCAATCTCTTCGTTTTTAGATTTATGGCCTTCGTGTAATACCGGGAAAGTAGGTAACCTCATAGCAGAAAAGAAATTCGCTGGATGATGTAGAAGACTGCAGTTTTTCTCTGTGACATGAGCATGGCCATTGCCCACTTTTCTCTCTCCAGACTACCTCCCTTCTCACCCCCTCCCCAATTTTCCCCTTGTATGTGTCTGTCTGTCTGTCTGTCTGTCTGTCTGTCTGTCTGTCTGTCTGTCTGTCTGT